CGATTTCGTTAATAACGAAATAAGTAAAATGTTAGATGAAGGTATAATCAGACCTAGTAAAAGCCCATATAATTCACCGGTAATAGTAGTACCAAAGAAGGGAGTAAATAAGGACGGAACTCCTAAGCATAGATTAGTAATAGACTTTAAGAAACTTAATGAAAACACTATACCGGATAGATACCCTATGCAAGATCCTTCAGTAATCCTTGCCAATTTAGGTAAAGCAAAATATTTCTCGGCCATTGATTTAGAGTCAGGTTTCTATCAGATTTTAATGAGGGAATCAGATATTGAAAAAACATCTTTTTCCATAAATAACGGCAAATATGAATTTCTAAGAATGCCTATGGGATTGACGAACGCTCCCAGAATTTTCCAAAGGGCAATGGACGATATACTTAGAGAACAAGTTGGGAAAACTTGTCACGTTTATATGGACGATATAATAATATTTTCAAAAACTATAGAACAACATTATAAAGATCTAATTCATATAATTCAGATATTGCAAAACGCTAACATGAAAATTTCACTAGAAAAGTCTAAATTCTTTCAATTGGAAACCAAATTTCTGGGATACATTGTTTCCCAAAATATCATTAAAACAGATCCAGACAAAATCTCCACAATACAAAACTATCCAATTCCTAAAAATATCAGAGAGCTACGTAGCTTCTTAGGACTAACAGGGTATTACAGAAAATTTGTCCGAAATTATGCCACAATTGCCAAACCTTTAACAAAATATCTGAGCGGAGTAAATGGGAAAGTTTCACGAAGGGCATCCAAGAAAGCATTAATACAGCTGGATGAACCAGCAATTGGAGCATTTAATAATTTAAAGGACAGTTTAATAGCACATATTGAATTAGTACAACCAGATTACAATAAAAAATTCACATTAACCACAGATGCATCGGACATAGCAATAGGTGCAGTTTTGTCGCAAGATGGGAATCCCATAACATTTATTTCTAAAACTTTAAGTAAAACCGAGCAATTATATGCTACTAATAAAAAAGAATTATTAGCTATTGTATGGGCATTAAAAAATTTGCGAAATTATTTATACGGAGTGAGTGGAATTGAAATACATACAGATCACCAACCTTTGTCCTTTGCAATGTCGCAAAAAAATCCAAATGTTGAAATGAAACGTTGGTATTACTTCATAGAAAGTTTCACACCAAAAATCATTTATAAGCCAGGCTCAACTAACGTAGTAGCGGACGCGTTATCTCGGATTAAAATAAATCATATGACAGATAGTGATGTCGACCAGACAGAATCAGAATCAGACATAAATACTCAGCATTCAGCAGAGAGTAGTTTCGAAAACGTCATTCAAGAGACTAGCAAGCCTCTAAACCAATTTAAACAGCAGCTACTATTAGCGCAAGGGAGATTCACAGTTCATGAGTTAGTAAGAGTTTATGAAAATACCCGACATATTATTGAATTTGATACGGTTGACAATCTGCTAATCATTTTAAAAGAATTTATTCAGCCTCACTTAACCACAGGAATACACTGCACTTTAGAAGATTTATACCTTATCCAAAATAAGCTAAAGGAAAACTTCATAAATAAATTTCTCTTCACGAGAAAGTTCCTTCAAGATGTAGTAAATTCAGAAGATAAAGCTATAATTATAGAAGAAACACATTGCAGAGCCCATAGAGGACTAGACGAAAATTACAAACAAATAACTAAGCTGTATTATTGGCCAAACCTGCACAAAAAATTAAAAGAATATATAAAAAATTGTGAGATCTGTAACAAAAACAAATATCAGAGACACCCTGTAAAAATTCCAATTGGGGAAGCTCCCATTCCAGCAAAAGAAGGAGATCAATTACACTTAGACATATACTATGCCCAAAACCTAACATTCATAACTTGTATAGATTCTTATTCCAAATACTTGGTGGTCAAGGAAATTCAAAGTAAATTAAACATTGAAAATAAGGTAATGGAAATTTTACAACACTTTCCGTTAGCAACATCATTAATGACTGACAACGAACCAAGCTTTACTTCAGCACAATTTAGATCATTCATACAAAGAAGTAACTTAACTATTTATTATGCTGATCCCAGACACAGCACCTCAAATGGTCAGGTAGAAAGGGTACATTCCACACTAACAGAAATAGCGCGGTGCATCAAGGATGAACTAAATCTAACAGATTATTCAGAAATAATAATAAGGGCGGCACTGAAATATAACCTGACGATACATTCAACGACCAATCAAATGCCATATGACATATTGTATAACAAAATAGAACACAAACATAATCCAATATTACTTAAGGAAGCTCAGACCAAAATGCTTAAGATACATAACAAAGATAGAAGAGAAAAAGATTATAAAATAGGAGAAGTAGTCTATGAAAAGAAATTCGGGGAAAGAAATAAACTACAATCCCGATACAAAAAGCAGGTAGTTAAGGAAAATCGACCGAATAAAATTATAATCAACAATAGAAACAGAATTATACATAAAGATAACATCAAATATTAAATATTTTTTCCAGAAAATGTATGCGAATATACTAATACTGACTTTTGTTATATTGACGACTGCGGAAGTAATTGACTATACGCATAGTGACTATCTATTGCTCAAAGACGACAGAGACGTTTACACTTATGAAACATACGCTGAACTTTTCCATATTACTAATTTGAGTTTTTATAGAGAGATAATTGATAAAGAATCCAAATATGTCAACAAATCAATTAATTCAGACGATGAGTGGGAAATATCAATGGACTTAAGTCTATTAAAATTAATGATTTCAGAATTAGTTCCAAAACGGAAAGAAAGGGGAATAAATGAATTAGGTACCATTTGGAAATGGATAGCAGGCAGCCCTGATCATGACGACTTTTTGAAAATACAAAATAAAGTAAATGAATTAACTGAAAATAATAATAAACAATTTGTAATAAATTCCAAATTTTTCAAAGAAATTGAATTGCTATCAAATTCATTAAAGAATGTCATCTTCAATGAAGAAACGATACTGAGAAAGCATCGTTTAAAATTAATAACTTTTGACCTACTAAATTTAGTTGATACCATAACCCTCTTAAAAGTAAACATTTTCAATACAAAAATTTTAAATAAAAACGAAATAGAGGACATTTATAAGCATGAAAAACATAATGTTGAACTGTCTGATCTGTTGGACATTGCAACGGTTAAAATAATTCGAAATGCAGATTTAATAATCATTTACATAAAATATCCTCAAATTAAAGATATTTGCAAGTTTTACCATGCAAGAGCCATCTCACAAAATGATGGAATGTTAGTTATAAGTGAAAAAGTTTGTGAATGTAAGGAGAAATACTATTTAATGAATAATTTTAAAAGTGAAACTTTTAACAATTACGCACAAATAAATTTAAAGAGTACCTGTTTCACCAATTTACTTAATGGCTTTAAAGCCAACTGCACTAAAAAAAGGGAAAAAAACAAAGAAATAGACATCATTCAGGATGGTGCCATATTAGTTTCAGGCAAAAATATCGTAGACAATACTACTTTGTTAGGATCGTATCTCCTTATATTCAACAACACAATTGTAATAAATAATATAACCCACATAAATGATAAGGGTAAAATTCTAAAATATATATCGCATCATAGATATAGCGATTTTGAATTAGTCGATTATATACAATCGAATGATAAGCAATTTTCTTTTGATAATGTTAATATTTTAAATCCCCTTATAACATTAGGTAATACGGCCTTACCATTAACAACATTATTTTTAATCATTTTGATATTGTTAATGTTATTTTACTTCGGCTATAAATTAACCAAATGTGTACTTATTAAATCAATAAGAATACCGTCAGAAGAAATAGTGGAAAGCAACATTCAAATACTGTCAGAAGAAATTAGAGCTCTATCAGAACTTCAAAATGTATCGGGACGAAACATTTAAGAATGGGGGGAGTTAACGTACCCAATTCCATTGAGCTCTTATACGAGTTGTAAACAATCTTTGGCTTTCCAAAACGAAAACAATTTCAATCTTGGGCCTCCGCCTAATTGATTTCTAAGATGTACAATCTCAAGCGCCCCCGCCGCAACCCCAATCTTTGACACTCGCCTAAATGGAAAACCAATGTTTGCCCACACCCGGCTTCTCATAAACAATCTCACTCCCGGCTTTCTGCAGATCCTGCACTTTAGGCCTTTTACAGTTCTCTCTTTGGATGACGAAATCCAATACTCGGGATGGCGAAATCAATTGAAATGTTTATAGAAAAACGATTCCCGAAAGGGATCAACGATGCAAAGATCAGAAAGTTCAAATCAGTCTTGATCCAGCAGCGACACCGCAAAGTCTAGCTCAATATTAAGATCGCGCAATCCCTTGCCCGGAATTCCTTTGTGACCCTCTACTTAAATCTATATCAGTGAAGTTCGAAGTAAAATAAAAACTTTTTAAAAACACAATCCGCTACCGCTATTGTTTAATTTGCACACACCTGCAGTTACAGTTGCGGTCAAGTAAATAGGAGCACTATGGCTTGCCTTGCGTTCTGCTCGTTTTCGCCTGCCTCGAGTGTAGCGATTAGCATTTTTGACATCTGCTGATCTTAGAGAGAGAGAGAGAGAGAGAGAGAGAGCTTTGCACGTCTCGCCATAGCTTTGTTCTATTCCAACTCCTTCTGTCCCTATCTCTTTTGCACTCTCTCGGGCGCAGGAGAGTTGCACTTTGTTGCTGTCCGCTGTCCGCTCTCCATCATTGTATTTCTCGCCTCTTCCCGCACGCATCGCATACCCTTTGCTGCTCTCTCTCTCTCTCTCTGCTCTCAGCAACAAGAAAAAGCTTTATTCAGCTGAGATGAACCCTCGTGTGAAGGAATAAAAGAAATAACGAACGGAACTCTACTTTGTTTGCTGCGTAGTTTCTGATTTTTTTTCGATGCATTTTTGATGATTAGCCTAACGACTTTTAAATGCAGGATTATTTCTTTAGTCTTTATTTTAATCAAATACATATGTGGAGCTTCTATTAGTTGAACCCCCACTGTAGCCCAGGCAAAAAGCCACACAATGCTAAATTAGAGCAAGTTTTGCGGCAGAGACGGGGCTCGACGCCGGCATCATCCCACAAATTGTTCCGATTGTGTGTTGGTGTGTTGGTGTATTGGTGTATTGGTGTGTTGGGTGTTAACGCATTGACGTCATATCGGTATATTTCCAGGCGGAACAAGCGGATCCGGCTCGTAGGGCGTGAATATTCCATGCTGTGTTGAATGTCGAATGATATATGGGGCCAGTCATCCTGACGGAAAGTAAGGGACGGGACGGGAAAAGGAAGTCCAATGCATGTGCAAATATTTTCTTTGCATGTGGGCCGTCGACGACTCTAAGCCGCAAACGGAAATGCGAAACCACCACAGAAACCACTCGCCTGCCCCTGCTCCTGCAATTATTGCATCTGCAATTTTCCATCCACCCTCACAATCTTTTCTGACCTTCCGTCCTGCGGACCGACCGACCGGTCCTGTGGGAAAATTCAATTTCCCTTTTGACTTCTCTGGGTCTCTGTTCACACGCATCATTTATTTATTTATTGCTTCTGTCTGCAATTGATAATTTAATTTCACACAATTATTGTAATTTATTATCCCTCTGTTGATCCGCGACGCACCGCACTGTTGGATCTCGCATATTATTATTATTATTATTGCACTTTGGGGCCGCGTGAATTTTATGAGCTGGGGAATTTATTCATAATGTTTGAATGACAAATGCCAGGCGGACGGCAGGTCAACAATGTGGGTATTCATCTCTGCGATTCGTTGATTAATGAATGTTCTTTCAATTGCAATGTGCATTCATCACAGATTAGCGCGAATCATTGCATGGCCTGAAAGATGATAAGAAGTTCAGGGTTGTCGCCACCCCACCCCATACGTCATTTATGAGGGGCCCCGATAATGGTACGACGAATGAGTGGGCAGCGCAGAAATCTCGAGATGAGCGAACTTGAGTGGCTCTTTTGATTCCTTTATTCATGGGTTGTTTCAGAACTCATTGTGGCATAGATCGATCAACTGAGGACTCTATTATGCTTTGATCATAGTAGTGGTTGTTTTATCGAGCTACTTCTCTATCGATATTCATTCTGCTTTCCTTGATCGGTTGCTTCGACAAGAATCAATAAGTTATCGTTGAAAAAATAGGTATTGATATTGAATAGGTATAAAATACGCCTCAAATTAAAACAATTCATGAAGTTACACCGTAATTTGTATTGATACTTTCGATACATATCGATTAGTTATAGTAGATATTGTTTCATAGACGAAAACACAAAAGAGCTCCAAGTTAAATCGATAAATTATGTAAACTGTTAAACCGGCGATAGTAATCGATGTATTATCGTTGTAATCGGTGAACAGAGTGAATTGACATAGGACGATTATAAATCGCTCCAATATAAATCGATTTCAATCGTTTTAATGTCTTTTGATCAATATATCTAATCCCCTTCGTTTTGCTTGTTAAAAGCCCTCGTGAAATCGATATCGTTATCATCTTTATCGCTTCCATCTGTAAGCTCCAGATAACCTCTAAGCGTTTCCTCAATAAACCATTTACCCACGCTGACCCCATCCCCCCTCCTCCACGTCCCCAGTGTCAATGACCAATTTGAATGAATGATGGCGAAGAAGCAGGTATGTAGGTGGGGGATTACTACGGCCAAGAGGAGAGCGAGCACAAAAGCGTAAAGTTTTCACGCCTCCTACGTGGGCAACCTGAGCACTTGACTGCAATATCAGATCGAAAACGATCATCATACGTGTGTCTGAGCGTTGCCACAACCTGACCAATCGCTGGCTCACTCGCAGGCCCCGGTCGCAGCTTCATTTTGGCTTCCCACTTCCCATATTTGTGTGCTAACTAGCCGCAATAGCCCCACCTCCGCTCCTCTTGGCCACCTTCGATGATTGGCAGCAGTAAAGAGGTTCATTAGAGCGCTAATAACCAGATATGTAACAGTCTCTGTCTCTGTCTCTATCGGTATCTCTCTCAGAAATAATGAAAATTACATGACGCCCAACATGGAAATTTATGCATTTGTGCATGAGCTCTGAAAAGCGTTGCGTGCAGCAGGAAACGCCTACTAAAAATGCACGTACATACGAGTACACGGTTCTTCATAGTGGGAGCAGGAGGTGTGGCATCAAGTGCATGCCACTAAATTCCAAGCAAGAGCAAATCGACAAGAATTCTAAGGGCCCAGTAGGAGGAAAAGTTGATAAAAGAGTCAAAAAGTAGCCTGAAAAGAAGAGAATATACTATAGATATACTGTAAATATTTGAAACTATAATTATGTGATCGTAAGGACTTTTGGTGTTTATATAGATAAAAGGCTGCATGAGATATCGGAAAACTTTAAGTCGATATACGATATCTGGAAACTTAAGAGCTGTTGGTAACCAAGATCCGATAGGCTACACGTTTCCTCCTACAGAATCATGGATATATTCCAAGCATATTTCCTCTTAGACTTGAAATCGAGAACATATGGAGAGATGAACCCGCTTAGATCTTCCAGAGGTGTTCCAGAAACCCTTCTTTCTTTCAATATAACCTTTAACCTCCAAAAATACCATCAATTAGACGATATAAAGCAGGGACTGAGCGTTCCCTCATTCTTCATTAAGCGAAACGAACAACCAAAAACGCAACCTCAGCGTAAAACTCAAACCACATCGAAGACGACCCAAAGGCCCTAAGACTTAATAAATTGTTCCGCCCTGGACCCCATACTCAAATGTAGCGTAAAATCGTACCAAAACATTGTACCATAAACTCAAGTGTTGCATAAATTAATAAATTTCCCCAGTGCACTGCAGTGCCCGCCCGCCCGGCTGCTCTTCGCTTCTGTTGGTGGATGTTGATTTCCATACCAAAGACCTAAACATGAAAACTGCAGTCACAGCAAGAAGGAAATTGCTATAAATTACAATGCACATCGTCATGCATTTTCATGCCTCAGTTGATTTTCCCTGGAAAGAAGGGGAAAAATAAATACGTACAAATACTTTTCAGATGGGATCCAAGCGGGGGAAAAAAGGTCTAGTCGATTGGGTATTGGGTGTGTGTGTGGGTGTGTGAGATGATTGCAAGGAATTTCTCCAAGAGTTTATTCAGGAATTTATAAGGAATGCTGGAATAGAGATTTGCAGAGGTGTATTTAAAGTATGTCCATCAGGAATGAATGGAAAATAATGAAAATAGACGTAAATTTAGTGGAAAAAAACATCTGATAGAACCGAGGGTTCCTTATCTCTCTCTCTCTCTCTCTACCACACACACTCTCGTCGTGCAGTGTGCGTCAAGAATCCTTCCGCCTTAAATGGATGTACAAAATTATACTTTGTTAAACATCAAATATATTCCTATCCGCCAACTCTTATTTTCCGCCTATTCATGCAAATTATAAGGGTAACAGAGAAATGCCGCCGCTTTCGACCGCCTTCATGTCACTTCTGTCACGATTGCCGCAAGCAACAGATGTTCGGGCTGTTTGGGGCTGATTGAGCGACTGGTGCCATCATCATCGTCGTCATTATCAGACGGAGAGCAACATCATCAGTGAATCTCCGGGATGTCTGGCTGTGGTTGGTGGTCGGGGGGGGGGAGGGGTGGTCGGCCTGGTCTCTTGTGGTGTGGTGGCTGCTGTGGGGCACGCCTTGTCGGCTCATCGCTCAGGCACACGTCAGGAGGGGGGCGGGAGGCGGGATCTACAGGTCCCAGTGCTACTTAACTCGGTCCCAGCTCCATTTGCTACTCTACCCGTTCCATGGTCTCCTGCTCCTGCGGCGCCTCTAGCTATGCCCGCTAGTCCGACATTTTACGACTCCCACTGTACAAAATGGCATGTGATACCCTGCACAGAGGGTATTATGAGAAGGAAGAGGGGTTTGCAATGCGTACAGATTATGCGAGAGAGGGACAGGCTGCTCCTCTTTCTGCATTTTGTTCGAACTTCGTTTCGATTGCAGTGCGTCGCATTTTTCTTATCTCTTGATCATTATTTGATCCAAGCGAGAGAGAGGGAGAGAGAGAGAGGTTTCGCACCTCACACGCAATAGCCAAGCTCTCTCGCAAAAGCATCATTCAATTGCTCTCTCGGCAAGCCATTGCTTCAATCCTCAATCGAGCGCAGGAGAGTCGGACTTTGTTTCTGTTTTCTATCACTCGTGTCGGCAAACGGGACTCTACGCTTCGTTACGCTCCCCTCACCACGCTCTCGCTCGCTTTGCTGCGTAGTTTCTCGTGTCTTTATTTTGTATTCATTTTTGTAAACTCCGACATAATGCAAGGGTATGGGACGCATCGGCCTCGTCGTTAGGTTCTGCTCTGCTCTTCAGGAGCGCAGTGCTTTCCTCTCCTTCCTCCTTCCTCCTTCTGCCTCCTGCCTTGGTCGCTCCAATCAAACACATGTCAAATGTTGCTGATGTTGCCTGTCGCCGCATGTCGGTGCCTGTCTTCCCCCCCCCCCCCCCCCTCCCCCCTGCCTAGCCGTTCGCCTTCCTGTCCGCTATTGGGGAGCAGGAACCTGCATCTAATCATAGCCCCCAAGCATCGTTTCACTTTCGCTGTGTCATGTAAATGCTCTCACCTATCCCCCACCTATTCCTCCCGACTCCAGGCCCAAACCTGACAACGACCACGCTCTCCCCATAGTTAGTACGTCAGACGTACGTTTTGGTCAACCCATGGGTTTGTCCCCACATATGGGCCTGGGATCCGATGGGGAGACTCTTTTCTGCTTTCTGCTTTCTGCTCCGGGCTCTGGTAGCTCTGGAGCTGCAGCTTGTTTTCCTATCCATTTCGTTGGATAGGCAGCCATTTGGCCAGAGCCGAGTGGGCGCCAAACTAAACGACAACCAAAAGACGACGACGGCATCGGGCAACGGGCAACGACAACATCGATGTCGTAGTGGTTTCACCTTGTTGTTGTGCTGCAGTTGTTGTGGGGCATACACATGTAGTGTGGCACCCACACTTGCCACACGCTTTTCCCTCTCCCCCTCTGTTGCCCTGTCTTTGTCTCATTTTTTGCATATTGGCAGCAACAGAGGCGGCGGCAAGAGGCACTCGACATCGACTCGACGTTGGTCAGTGCCTTTGGTCGGTGGCAGGCGTCAGGGACAGGGCACAGTGGGCTGCAAGTAGCCAGAAAGTAGGTCGAGAAATCGTATTCGGTAGAGGGTAGAGGGTTAATGGTTGAAGGTTACGGATTATGGGTTATCGGAGAAAAGATTACACATTCACTTGCAGAACTCATAGATCATAGTTTGAGTACACAATTTTCTTGAAGGAAAATCCTCATTAACCCTAAACTCCTAGGGGAGTTTTGCCTTACAAAGATATCCAATGTTTCTGCCCAAGATCGATATTTAATATTATATGGATTTCAATTTAATATTCTGTAAATTTTCTATAAATATACCCACTTAATCAACCAAAATCATATTTATCCATAAAAAATACCTAACATTATTGCACATATAAATTAGAAACCCTTCAAACTTCGATCTGAACATAAAGTCATTCAATAAATTCTAAAATAAGTATTGCCTAAACCTATTTGAAATAGGTTTTAGCTTTTTAAATAACTTTCAACTTAATATAAGATTTTTTGGGAATTTTTAGTTGATTTTTAGACGAAGATAATTTTTTAGAGAATTTGTGAGTTGCTTAAGAGTTTATT